ATTTAGTATATATTCTAATATATACCTAATATATATATTTATTTATATTTTGACATTACCACTAATCTTTAAGTAAGCAAGTGTATAAAGATTTTTCATGGACAAATTAGTAGATAGATAAAGTACTTACAGCACCCCAAAAAGTTTTTTAATTTTAATTTTTTTATATTTTTTACTAATTTATGTTAATTTATATTAGCTATATCCTTATGAAGAGAGAAATGTAAAAATAATGATGGTTTCTATTAAAACTTCTAAGTATCTTTTGGCAAAAAAAAAACATTTTATTTTCCTTTTTCAGAACAAGATTTTTTAAGAGAACTATGCCTGAGATGTTATGACTATCTATTTAAAGATTAATGTTTGATGATTATTGTTCTTTGAGATGGGAGATACGTTGCGTATTATTAGTTTCATTTGAGTTTCTGAGATTGTATGTTATTTATTGTATATGTGTAATTTTATTTTTATATTTGAATGTTTATTGTTTTAACTTTAATTATCTGCGTTTGTTTGTTTCATTATTTTTTTTGTTAATTGTCAATTTAATTTATGTAATAATCTGCTCAGTTTTCTATTTTTTTGTCTATTGTTTTGAATTTGCCACTCTCTTGGATCTTTTCTAGATAGACTATAGCGATTTTGACTAAGAACAATTTTTTATTTTTTTATTATTGGATTATATTTTATGTTTTAAAAAGACTATAAGTGAATACATTAAATTACATTAAAAAATTGCACTTGACATTTTGATGAAATTGGTCCTTAAGATTTCCAATCAACAATTTTTATTTTACAATATTTTATAATAATTATTTTATTAAATTGATTGCATATACATCCTTTATACCTATGTATGTATAAAACCATTACAAATACAAATAGGATTGAACGGTAAGTCAGAGAATATAAATATGAAAACTTAATTAATTATATATTTTCTCATTGTACAGACATTTCTTTTCGTAAAAACACACTTGATTGTTCATTTCAGTTTTACAGAACTCTCTCTGAAACTTGTGAGAGAACAATACATTTTTTTGTGTTACTTTCTCTTATAGGCAATAAGATACGAAATCGCCAGCAAAATGCTCGCGGATCATCGCATATGCAATATTCGGGTCATCAATATGGCGCTATGATGCCGAGTGGTTCTGTGAATCCGTACAATGCGCGAAGGCACGATGTGCATATGTTGCAACCGCAGCAGCATCATTGGGATCCGATGTTGCATCAGATAGCACCTAGTGTGGTAGCCGGTCCGACAAACGGTTACGCACCACCGCAGTATACAACATCGAACCAAATAATTCCTTATCATGAACTTCCACCACACTACACGAACGAAAGCAATTCAGGGAATTCTTCGTACTATCTGGGAAATGGTAGCTACATACCCGTATCATACTTACCACCTCAGCAGGTTGACGCAACTGAGAACGGAGCTGTACCTCCGTCGTACCCGCAACATTTCTATTCAACGACCGAGGCTTACCCGCCAGGTCACTCGTCAATAAACGGCCAACCAATGATGTACTCACAGCCGGTGATGTATCCACAATCGGTGCAATATCATGCTGTACCATCACCATCGCAACACATGCAAGAGCAGTGGAACCCGACCTTGGGACCGCAGCCCTCCTATATTGCCCAATGCATTGCTCCAAATCCAGGTCTAGCTCCGATCATAGAACCATCCCCTAACGGACAATGTACCGTTCCAAAAGGTTCACTTTAGATATTATATATATTCTGAAAATTAATAATTAAGATTGAATCTCTATTGCAGTAACTGTTGAAAAGTCTATATGACAATAGTATTATATAAAATAATATTAATTATGACATCGACATTCACCGTGAAAAAGTAAGATTCTGAAGACTGATGGTAATTATAAGATACGAAATACATCGTAATAAGAATAAAAAATAACTATAATTAAGATTAACTACACATAGAAAATTTAGACATAAAACAGCTATATGGAGCAGAATATATTAATTATTTCCAATTCTCGTTAAAAATCGACAAGATTGTTCGCTATGACTTAGAGTTTTCTATACCGTGTACAAAGCTCCATATATTATACAAAGTAGAAAATGTTTAAGATGCAGTCTTTATAAGCTCTATAGGCGAACTAATTTAACATACCACGGATTAACGTGAAAAAGACGTGTGATGTTATGATGCAGCTGATCTATTGTATCAATGTTTAAAAAATTTAAACTGAGATACTTGAAACTTTTATAGGTATAGTTTAAAAGAAAGAAATAACGTATGCAAGACTAATTTCGATCAGTTTCGACATTATCTTAATGGATAATGTAATTAATAAGTTTCTTCATTAAAAAGAAAAAAATTATAGTGCCTTCAATAAACTATGAGAACATTCCTATTCTGCCTGTTCTCCTTGCAGAAATATTCCGTATTTAGCGATATTTATCGATATTTTGAATCATTGGAAAGTATTATTAATTATAATTACTCTTGTATTTCTTAAATACCGACAAATATCGTAAATAAAACGAATATTATTTTCAATGGAGTGAATTGGATATCTATTGGGATTATTATATCATTCTTTTTCACACATAACAAGCTTAATTATTTCATAAAAAGTATCTAGGCTTATAACTTACATATTTAGAATATTTAAGAATCAATACATATATAACATAAGTTAAGATCTTGTAATTCATTAATATTATTAAGTTTACTGAAGTTCTTCAACATTTATACAATTTTTACTTAATATTAACCTTTATACAATTTTTGCAATCTTTTTCGAATAAATAATGCAGAAAGATCAATCAAATCTATTTTATTTGTTGCGTTTTCAATTTTTAGATGGGGTAATTGTGTTTGCTTGTATTTTAAATAGGTCAAAACCTAAAAATATTTTTTAAAGGCTTAGGATCCTGCGGATCCAACTTATTGTCATAACCGAATATTACTAAATAAATCATGTTTGAATTATACAAAGAATTCATATGTCTTCATGAATTGTGACTAATGAATAAATCGATGTGTAATGCGACATACGTAAACGCAAGCACGTTGATGTATTATTTGAACTTTCTAAGAGAATTTCGAGACTCACACAATCTTCGGTATGCTATGTGATAAAAGGAAGCTGTAGATTATCGAAGGTTTTTTAAAGTGCAATAGTCACGATAATTAATACCTACTGGAACAGAAGCACATATGGTAAAATAAATATAAAATCTATATACATATATATCACTGATATGCGAAACATATTAGTGATGTATACAATATAAACAGTGGTACGTACTATAAACTTTTTAAGTTACGCATTATGAAGTATTAAAACAAAAAAGTTTGGTATGGACAAACGTGATTCATCGTCAACGAAACTGGATACTCTTATATATGCATATATATATTTATAGAAATTCTAATATCGAACCGTACAATATTCTCTTCCATATAAGATACATGCGAAAAAAATTATTATCTCTACGGTACATCTTAAAAGCGGTAGTAAACTCGCTATTACAGGGCTTGGTTTTGATTTTAATCGCCGGAATTCTACGCTCATATATTATACAACGTGCTAACGCTAGAGGCACTCTATAAGAACTGAGATTTCACAAGGTAATCAAGAAAAGGTCCAGTGTGATACACGAAGCTTAATGTTAAACTATTTACACGTATATTACACTTGATCTTCACTATTTACAATCGAAAATCTCAGATGGATATATCATTGATCTGATAAAAGAAAAAGTAAAATGGAATGATAAGATCTATGTTCCTTCGTAACATACAGTTTCGATAAATCCTTCGGAAGTGCAACTTACAAGGAAATATTTATACTCTCGTGCTTGTTATACTTGATATATAGGCAAACCTATTTGGCATTAAAGGCCAATAAAATCCTTCGAGTTTCATCGCGTAATACATATTGTTAATTTTCATTGCAAGATCCCCGCATTTCTACGAGAATCCCTTTCTTCATTGCACACATTTACATACTGTATTAGACTCGCGTATTATTGGTGTCTCGGGTGTGTGCGATTTCCTCTAAATATAAGTGCATCAATTGTATAATCTATCTGTACATTCGCTACACAGTTCAAATACACAATAATATTAACATATTTAATATTGGACTAATAAGAACAGGGATGCTCTGAAAGATCTCGCAATAAAAAGTCGTAATGATTTCAAGCGAACGAAACAACAGTGAGAAATTTCAATTCTGTAATCAAGAATCTTTAAATTTAAAGAAAAAAAAATTATAACACGTGATCAGCTGAAATGTTAGTCCGTCTGTCGATAAAAGTAAGGATTAGAAAATGAATTAAAAATTATTAGTAGACACTTATGCGAGGGAGGAAAACATAGATAATGCTGTAACGCGCGTTTCTCAGAAATTTTATTTTCGTTTAATTCATGAAAAAGAGAAATCATTTCACCATAGTTCTCATATATTCCACTTCATTCAGTCACTATTTATATACGATAAAGGTATTACAGTAATTTGCTATGTACGAATTAATCTTTAGCTACTTCCACATCAGATCTGAATCATAGGCATTACACTATAGGACCTGGATGTCAGTTCTGATTTGAAAACAACTTCTCTCTATATAAGTCCATATTAAATATATTTTACAATAATATTATCATTGTACATGAACAACGTATGCTCTACACCTCGCGTTGCTTATCGCTAATTAACCAGCGCAATGACAAGATTTTTATATTACTCGACAAAAACAATAAAATTAAGATATAAATATAATATACATGCTACACAAAACACCATAAAAGAACGTTGTTAATTAAAGCTAAACAAAAATTAGTCTGGCTAGATTAGCTTTACAGAGTTTGATACTAGAAAGTAGCACTAGTAATAATGTGGAAGAGAACATGAAGATTCAAAAGATATAGAAACTCTAAATGGTTGAAAGGTTTCCAAGATTAAATTACATCGATAATTTGAATTAACGCTAGAGTAACGATTTAGTTATCTCTTCCTAGATTATAATCCTTTTCTACGAAAAAGACATAATATAGTATATAACATAGGCAGAGAAAAAAAGTGTCTCACTTAATTTGTACTAGCGTAGCAGATTTTACATTTTTGTTATGTTTTTCTAAAAAGTCACATTATTATAAGGATAATGATAAAATAAAAACAGTATCTTAACAAAAAAGTTTGCGCTGGTTGAAACAACGATCGACAAGAAGGTGTTAATTAGTTAAAATAGACGAAGGGGGACTGGATTTGTGTGACCCCAATATGTGCGCCGCCTTGGTACCTCCTATAGTAAAATAAATCTCGTGTTAATATCGCTTATAGACTGCTTATTATATGTTAAGCATAATTTCACGTAATTTAAGATATAACACTATTATATTTATGAATTTGTGATCTAAAAAGAAGATTGTGAAGATACTTACATAAAAGTAGTGGTAAAACAGGCGAAGGGAGGTTATTCCTTATTTTCCTCAGTAGTAACAGTGTTGGAGGGATTTTGGGACTCTGATGAGGATAAAGGCGGCGCTTCTGCTGCTGTGTCGGTTGCATCTTGACTCGAATCCGAGCTGTCCTTCATTTCCTCCTGCTTCTTTTCTTCACTGGGAGCGGTACTTTTAGCTTCGTCCACCACATTCTCCGACTCCTCCGTCACTTTTTCGTCCTTGGAATTGGTATCTGTCACTTTCTCAACGTCTTTACTGTCTTTACTGTCCGCACCCTCCGCATTTTTGTCTTCGTTTTGTATCGTCTTACTTTCCTCCTTTTCCTCTTTCTCCTCGTCTACTTCCATCTTTGTAGATTCCTCTTCCGTGTGTTTTTCGCTTTTGTTGTTGGATGTTTCATCGTCTGTGTTGTTCTCATTGTTCTTTTCCTGCCTCTTGGGTCGTCCACGTCCACGACCACCACCACCACCCCGCGTCGATGGTTCCCTCTTTTCCTTCTTGGGTGGCGATGGCACTGGCGTTGTCGAAGTTAGGCCTCTGGCTGAACTGCGAGTGCGTCTCCTGCCTTCTACTTCACCGACTGCGGATTTGTTCATGCCCTGTAAATAGCAAGTGTTTTAAAACAAACGGCCAGAGATATCTACAGCAAAAAAATAAAATAAAATTCAAGATACATCAAATGGTTTTGCCTCGAAATCATAGTGTTACAAGTCGTGAATCGCAAGATATAATATTCTAATGCACTCCATCTTTATTGCAGCTCAAATTGTAATTAATTTGTATTAACGTTTGTTGATTCCTAACATCAATAGATAGCAATTTGTAATTGGCGCCTACGCAGCGATTGGTTCCTCATGCCTCGCCGAGGGCGCTTATTTCCCTCCTTGCTGTCCCCACCCCGGCCAATCGACGTCCCCCACTCCTGACGTCGTATAACGCTCACGTAGGCAGCAGGCGAAGTCGACGACGGAGAAGGCTAAAACGGAGGGAAATAACCGAGAGTGAGGGGTGGAGGGGGAAGAGGCGAGGACCTTGACCAGCGGGACCTCGGCGAAGATTTTTGGGACGTATGATAAGCCGATTCGATCCGACGTGAAAAGTTTTTCCCTGTTTTTAGATAATCGCGTGAGCCGTCGCGAGACGCACCTTTAAGATTGCCTCGCCCTCCTGAGCGGTCCTTTCGAGAGTGGAGAGCCTCTTGGTGCCGCTTCGTTTGTTTTTCGTCGGAGTCGGTTTCTCCTCCGTCGACTGTTCCTGCAAAATCAAGCTTCCTATGTATTCGCTCTCTCTCGTATCACGAATACATTCTATCGCGCACACGTACAGTCATGCGCTCGCGCGCAGCGTCTGCGCATGTGTACTTGTACGTATGTGTACGTGTGTATGCATGTATGTACACACATATCCATATTTCTTCGCGAGAAATATATGTATATGTATGTATATACATACGCGTATCACGCTTACGCAGTCGCGCGCTCGTTGACGTCTTGAGATCGTCCGAGAGAGAAAGAGAGATAGAGAGAGCTGCGAGTTGCGAAGGCGCGGGCGATGGGCACCACGCGACATGACATGATAATTACGACGTTCGACGTGATAAGATTATCGAGGACCGTTGAACCATCCTCGAGACTAACGTCGTGTTCAAGTTTCCCGCCATTTTGCCGTGCGCCCGTCCGTATCGTCACCAACGTCTGTACGCCTCGCTCGCTCGCTCGCTCGCTCGCTCGCTCGTTCGTTCGTTCGTTCGTTCGCTTGCGCGCGCGCGCGCACGAGCGCGACTCCAGGCCGGTCGTCGACGGCGGTGGCGTCTCGCGGACGTGGACGCGGCGTCGCTGCCGATGACGGCCATCACGTTGCCTAAGTTCCTGGCGCGACGCCGCGAGTTGCGACCGATTTCCCGCCTTTTCGCGCGGCGCCGAGCTGTATGGCGAGCGAACAGGAGCGCGAGAGAGAGAGAAAGAGAGAGGAGAGGGGGACAAAGAGAAGAGATTAGAGCGTGGAGCAAGCGATCCTCCTCCGGTCTCGAGAGTCGGCGCGATAAAAAAAAAACATCTACCATCTTTGCTGACGACGGGAGATAATGTGCGTACGTACGCACGGCGCAGCTACGAAAAATTTCTCGCTGGATGGATGGAAGAGCAGGCAGCCAGGCAGGATGGAAGGGCAGGCGACCGGTCGGTCTGTCGGAGGCGCGCGGCGCCGCGCCGTGGTGCCGACGCACCACATGGCGCGGCCGCGTCGTAACGACGCGCCACACAGCGTAAGCGCGTATACGACAGCCTGGCCGTCGCCGTCGTCCGGGGGGCCCCAGGAGTACGCGCGGAAGGACGCGTCCCCGCAACCGCGGCACTCGCGGGGGAGGGGAGCCCACTGCCGCCTCGCACACGCCGCTCACGGCATGAAAACTCGGCTTGACGAAGGTGTTTCTGACGTATCCGCCGGCCCGCTTACCTTGGACGTATCCTCGATGTTGTTGTCGCTCTTGGTCTCCGTCTTTGCGTCGGACATCTCTTCACGTGTGAATCACTCAAAAACACTGGGAAATCCACGATTCCACGGCGAGAATTCGCGCTGCGCCCGGTCGCACTGTTTATACGATAAGGAAAGATGGCGGTTAGCGTGGGTCACGTGACACCTCGTCAAACCTCAGAGCGGGAGTTCGGCGCGCCGTCCCGCGCCGCCGCGATCAACTACGCGCGTAGCGACGCGACCCCGATCAGCCCGGTGCCGAGATTCTCGCCCTCGTCGACAGTATTCCACGCTGCACGCTCGATTTTTTTCCCTTTTTTTTTATTGTAAAAGGCTGAAGCTCGTTTACGTCAGCAGTAATGCGATTCTACGTAACTTACAATATCGTGTACAATAAAGTAAAATTAAATATTGTGAATATGATTACTCATCTTTTTTTTTTATTTAAAAAATTTAAATTCGTAGAATCGCACTCATTTGCTGTCCCGTTGTAATACGAGCAACGTTCGTTTAGAATAATTAAAAGTACAGCGTAGAATACTGCCGCAAAATTTAAAATCGGGATGTGATTTGAATAAAGGCCCTCGCCAGCAATTTTGAAAATAATTTTCACGGGCGTGTATTAAATCGTAATTAACATCGCGCACGCGTACTTACTTTACTTACCTGCTTCAAAATCGTTCTATATATTGTAGTATGTATTCATATATCGTTCTGTTATAATCTTTCTCTCTTTCGATTTATAGAATTATAAGAGGTAATCATATAGGATTTTTTAATTATTTATATGCTGCTTTGAATTAAAGATGTAATTTTTTGTGTTTACGCATCATGAAACATGTAAATGTTAAAATTAATCTAAGAATTGTATATTATACAGTTTGACACAAATAAAATAAAATTTGTTGCTTAGAATCTAAATAAAATGGAAAGTTGCATAAATACGTAATACCTATTTTTCGTTTTTTTTTTCTCGTAATCGTATTGATATATCCGATCTTAAATGTCTTTATCTCTGCCTATTCTATTCTAAAATAAAACAGAAATTATTAGAAAGAGTTCCACAGTTAGCATCTTTTAACTGTTGATTTTAACAGTAAGTCATTAATGCGTTGGCATTCTTCGGAACCAGAATCTCGCCCTGAAATCGTCGCTGCATGTCAAAAATGCAGGCGCGGTTGGTGAATGTATGATCATTCTCACAGGACCGTTATGACCCAATGACAGCAACTGTTTTCTTGATGCGTTACGAGAATTCCATGCACACAACGAGGTAGTGGCTTCGTCAGGAAACAACACATAGTCCTCGGTATGATTAAAGATCGCTTGTGCCTTGTGTTCCTGTCTACCTGTGGAAAACAGTTTAGTCAATCGTATATTCGTGATTGTATTATCGTAACATTGACAAGGCATACCGCACCGAATGTATTCCAAGTACGTCGAAACGCATTTATAGTCTTTTTACCTGTAGTTCCGGCACCAGTATATGCTATTAGACATCTGCTAGTAGATAATTCCCATAACTTTATCAAGGAATCCTTTCCTGAGGACAATATATACTGGAATCCAAAATTATATGATTAATCAAAATTAAATGGGGAAATAAAACACTAAGCTTACATCGGCAATTTACGTATAAATCTTGTGCAACATTACTCCAGAATTACTACCTTGCCATTTCTTGTGAACGTCACTGAGCATACTTCATAACCATCGTGCGCTTTTGCGAAAGTATTTATACATCGATTTGACACTCCATCCCACAGTTTGATGCTTCCGTCTTTTCCTGCCGATACATAAGTCTTTGCATCCGGAGAATACTTGATGCTAGTTATTCCAGCTGTATGCTGATGATTTGGTATGCTACACACAAAACATTGTGCAGTATTTACATCGTACAATCTAACTATCGGATGATTGGTCCCGACTATAAGAAAATCTCCGGTTGGATGGAAAGATAGACATCGAATTTGATCCGCATCTGTGATGGTCCTGAAAGCCTTCTTAACGCTGGCTTTACTAAAATCAAACAATTTCACAGAGAAGTCACGACTGCCAGACACAAGTATAGGCTCCCTAGGATGAAACTCCAAACATGTTACTTCTTCCAAGTGATCGTATAAAGTTCTTATAACTGGATGACCTCCAGTTTGATCTCCAGGTGCAATCTCTTCTGGTGCAGACTTGGCTAGCATTCTGTCTACATCTAAAATCTTGATTGAGGCATCTACAGAACCAGTAGCTATCAGCTGACCATCTGCTGAGAAAGCTCCAGCCCTGCAGTTTCCTTTGTGGGATGTAACGTACGCTGTTTCATATTGTGCTGGTTCTGGAGCTTGAGTCTGAGCTTCTGTCTCAAATTCAAGGTCTAATCCAGGACCTAACGTGTTGTCAAAACTTGATGTAAATAAGGATAAGCTAGCGCTATTGTCCTTCTTGGAACGATCTGGTTCATGAGCAGAACCGATCAACATCAAATGAAGCAGTCGATCGGAGGGTGGACATGGTGGATCCGTCTGTATCATATTGGATAGCTGAACAGCTAGAGTTTGATGACCATCGTAGAAGAGCTGACTGAAATATTCAACATAATTTACTTGATAATCCATTACACACGTCCTACTTTTGTTATCTTGCTGATGAAGCTACAATTGTAAATTACACTTGCCATTGGGCGTTTACACAAGAATCGCGCTTTATATAGAGACTATTAATGGTGAAGGAGCGAAATTCAAAGGAGAGCGTGCAAAAGAGACGATTATAAACAACCTGATCATCAATCTGTAGAGCAACTCCCTGCTCTTTATAATGTTCTTCGGATCTGCCTCAGGTTCCTTCATTGCGCTCTGGCCCGCCGTGTTCCCTGAAGGTGACTGAATGTTGGCGAGTTTAACTAGAACCGTCTAAAAAAAATACTTTAAACCGCCCATTAATCGATGACCCCGGTCTTTTTTGCAGGTTATGTCGCGTTGTTGTCACCCCAGCACATTTACGCTCATGCTTCTGCATCGCTTATGTTTGATTGGTAGTTCAGGCAGTCGCGACCAATCAACGGTGCCCACCGTTGTCAGTGCAAGTTCCACGTGACACAGTTTGCGAAAAACTCCACAATGGCCGAAATTGATAGCAATTTGGGTTTAAATAAAACCATCTCCGAACAAAAGAGTGCATGCCGCAAAAAGTTGTTGAACGAGCACGCTCTACGAAAGCGGCAGGCCTTCAAGTTCGCTACAAGTGACAGAGATATCTATGTGAACAACAAGACACCTTTTAAGGTACCTCGTGTATAAAAGTCATAACCTTCCAATCGTTGTAACTTCTTCGTTGTAGATTTAAAATGAATACGCATTTGTTTTGAAACTTTGTCGTTGCACTTTCTCAAATATTTGTAAATATTTTAAAGGGACAATTATACAAATGCGAGAAATTGCTCGACAAAGGTGCTTCTGAGCTGGTCATCCATGGGCTTGGTGCTGCTGTGTGCAAAGCAGCCAGCCTGGCTCTGCGATTGAAGGAAATTCATCATGACACTTTAGATCTTGATGTTAAAACCTCTACCGTCACTTTAGTAGGTACGTATACTTTTCTATATACATAATTAAACTAAAACGAAAGTCTAAGAATGCCTTGTTAATTATAGATGATCTAGAAGCATTAAACGACGATGTGGACGATGAGATAAACAACAGACAAAACTCTTCTATACACATACGTGTTATTAGGAGAGTGCCAGTGGCTGTGCTGAGATCTAAATAGGAACAAATTGATATTGAGACTTTGTAAAACGATATGTTTAAGTAAAGAGTGTGTAGATAGAGTGAATAATAGAATATGTATGATAGAGTGAATGGAATTATTAGCTACATTATTATTTCAATATAGTTGATAGAGAATTATATAATTTTTTTACAATGATCTTCTCTTTAAACGAACTGGTTCACTGGTTAGGTTTAACAATCTTTGAGATATGGATCAATTTAATTGCTTTAATGTTCTTCACTATTTTGCTAGCTTTAAAATTAGATGAAAATTTATTTTTGGGACCGTCAGGATGGTGGGAAGTATTTTCGCCGCTCTTTGTAGCAGATGGTTTAAACACGTATTTTTGTGCTATTATTTTTATAAGAATGTACATGGAAGGAATGATTAGAGCAGGCATTTTGCGAGCACTATGGAGTCAAATATCATTATTATTAATCTTTGTGTTTAAGTATCTTCTATGTAAAAAGCTCTCTGGACAAAGCACGTTGGAGTATTCTGAAGTTTTGAGTCCTGTATTCATTCTTCTGCAATTGATTGCTGTCAGAGCTTGTCAATTACATTAAGAAAAATAGAAGAACTTTCCTGTATACTACTTCGATACTACTTCCAGAGTCATCATCTGTGAGAAACGATATATATTATATAATACACTTGTACATATATACTATATTTTGTCAGATTTATTTAGATTAAATTATTTAAGAAATTTTATCTTTCTGTAAACATTACTAAATATTTTTATCCTGCTATTTAATATTATGCTGTTCCTGAATACGTTATGCAATACAAATTTAATAAATATTCTCTTAAAAGAATAATGATATATGATACAAGAATGTTAATTAAAATGATAAAGTAATATATTGATAAATAATATAATTCTTTGAATTAATATTTTGTTAATATTTAAAGTATTATATGTAAACTTATTGACACATACTGTTGTTTTATAATAAGTAGAGTTTTGACAAAAAATAACAAACATTAATTTTTTTGTTATATATTTAAATTATTTTATATTATGATGGATGATTCTTGAATTCTCTATTAATTTCCAAATTATTTACAGGATTTTATTATTTATGATAATTAATAGGAAAAAAAATAAAATTTAGTTTAGAATACTTGGAAATAATAAGTATTTATCTGTGAATAAATTAATGTATTTAATAATAACAATAAATAATATTTATACATATATAATTTCTTTCAAATATAAAATTAATATATAAAAATCACATTATTTACAAAAAAATATTTTTAATAAAAAAAGTTAATATTAGAAATCGATTCTTTTAAAGTTATGACTTTGCAGAGCACGATTTATTTGAACTATTCACGAGAGTTCAATATTTAATATGCTATCGAACTATTTTTAACCACTACGTTCCAATATTCCACTATGCAGCGCTTGGAATTTACGTTTCTTAGAGAATGTCGATAGAAACTAAGACAGAAGTTTCCTTATATAAAAATAACAAGCCTGTGAATCATAACATAACATAGACCGATAAATTTAACACTGCTCCATTTAAACTCTAAAGATAAACAACTGACCAGCAATCCAGGTGCTTTATGTGGGCATGTGTGCCCCCTCCAATCCTCTTCAGCCAAGATCAATAATCCTAACTGAAGGGAGACAGTGGATGTATTCAGTGAGAAGGGGTGCGTGAATCAAGTCATTCTATAGGTAAAGCCTGTTGCTGCTACCACATTTCACAAGTTCGCAGAACGTGCTACATTAAACGCCACATTAATTGTCTGTCATAAGACTGATTATCAATTATAAGATTCAGTGATGTGCTGTGGATATACCAAGGGATTATGGATAAGCTGGCTAATTGGACTCATGGTTAGTTTTTATACCTTTAATTTTTAATACACATAGGATGGCGGCAAGTGCCATTTTTGTATATAAAACGCGATCAAAGTTTTATAATATACTAAAATAATAATACGCTAAATTAACAGCATGTTTCCTTTGTTGAACTAAAGCTTATTGAAAGCTGTATCAATTCAAACAATAAATTATAATTTATGTAGAATAATGTAATATACCATGTAAATTATATTATTATTTTGTATTATGTAAACTTTATGGAGTGACGTTTTTTATCATGATGTGTGTATATGTATGTGTGTGTGTGTGTGTGTGTGTGTGTGTGTGTGCGCGCGCGCGCGCGCGCACACACACACATGTAAATATACGGGTCATTCTGTTTTTAATTTTATGTTTTTGTCATTAATTAGGTATAAACGCAACAACCCAAGTCACAGGTCAGAACTGTGTATCAAATTCATCAAATTCTGCGTTCCTCTTAGACAAGTCGCTGGTCACTGCACCTTCATGGAGTGCGATACAACAAGACATAAGATGGGCGTTTCTATTACATGCATATAGCTTTGCATGCCTCTTCTTCGTACTAGGATTTTACACACTCTTCTCTATTCTAAATTTAAGGTACATTGCTATGCCTGCATTGATGATATCAGTGAAAACTTTATGTCTTTATTTAACTACTTGTCTTTCAGATCTCTCATATCAACCAGGCCATTTATGTCCACGATTAATATATTCTTATGTTTACTCGGGGCATCGAGAGCTGCTTCCTTGTTCATAGATGCGTACAATCTTAAAGAAATTCTACCTAAAGTCATTGGCTCAATTATATGGGACATTGGATATCCATGTATTACATCTGCCTTTTGTCTGATACAATTGGCTTTCCTGCAACTGACAAAGGTATTAATCGCTTAAATTGAATAAATTATGTATATTATTAAACGTTGCCATCCTTCATATGGGCCACTTTCAGCTAAAATTTGGTCCAGAGAAGATACAGAAGGAATCCTGCCTCAGTCTCATTATAACAGCACATTTCTTCTTCGTTATCGCCAGCGACATTGTTCTGTCCTCCCATAATTGCTACATGGTGAAATACATGGTTCAAGCGGCGTTTCTCGTCTGGAGCGTTCTTTTGTATCTTGCTTTCCTACACGCGGCTTACAAAATTGATCATTTGCTCCGGACTATGCCAAGTAGTATGTTGACACGGGACAATTCCAATGCCCATCAGAAAGGTTGGTTATCGATTTTTTATTTGTACGTCAATTTTTATAATTTTTATTCTAAAATGATTACCGTTATCTTTCATTATATAATTATATTTTTATGCACACATGGACTTAAGATTACCTTACTTTTTATTCATGCATATTTTATACAGCGTTTGTTTCGGAATTGTATCACAAAAATTTACTTATAATTCAGGTATCATGCAACTCGCGATGTTGGCACCGTATAGCAATCTGGCGACTTCGGTTGCTGCCGCGCTGGTACCTACTTTACTTGGCCCAGCTAAAATGAAAGGTCCAGAGGAAAGTGAGCCTGTAAATGCGAATAAAAATGCGGAGGGAGCACCTCCAGAAGGCGGTAATAGGAGGCAACAAATATTTTATCATTAATCACCTACCCAGAAATATACAATTTTTTATTGAGATCTGTTTTCAGAAGCGCGAGCCACAATTACCACCAAGGTATGCAAGATAGAAGGACCAGCGCAAAAGGAATTACAGAATGTTACAATATCTATATGCACCGTACAATCACCGTCACAGGAACAAAAATCATCAGTACCGGAAGTCTACGTTAGACCACCCACTCCTACTCCGTCAACTGCTAATCTGCCGATTATAACTGTGTCCAGCCCGAGTCGTAGAAGCTCCATGGCCAGTCGACGAGGCAGCGACACGTCCACAAAATCCTCGCGCAGGAATTCGGAATGTAGCGTTAGATTTGTAAATGAGGAGAATGCAACGGAATGCAAACGTACGACGGAGGGTAGCCCGAGGTCGTTGCCAAGAATGCGAGAGGAGTTTGAAAGAAATCGCTCGCCAGAAAGTCCACGACGATACTCTGAGAATATCTCGCCGACGGGTAGTACCAGGGAACTAAGACGATGCTCCGATTTTACTCACGAAAAGAATCGTGGCTCACAATTCGCAATTAAGCTGCGGAGGAATAGCGATTTTGGTAATAGAACGCCCAGAAGAATGTTGCCACCTGACGAACATTCTAGATTGCCCAAAGTCCTGGATGTTAGCCCCACAGGTAAGAAAAAAATATATAGCTCATATAAGAGTAAATCTTTAAAAATATTCTAGTTTACATTTTCTTCTTTTAATATTGTTTTTTTATTTTATCCTGTTTTTATTTGTTATTTATATAATTAAGATAGGTAGTATTTTATTATGTTGATGCACCTGTCAATAATTTTAATTTATAATGTGATATATTTTTAATTTTTACAGATTTACAGCTAAACTCATATCTTGTACATGGTACATGTGCATACCATGATATTTTATTTGTATTCGATATTAGTATGTTTTTATATTGTTTAACAATATTTCAGGTTCAAGACGCAATTCCGATATTGGTATACCACCCAGACCTGACTCGCGTAGAAATTCTGAGAGTTCCTATCGACGCAACTCCGAGTTTATTCACATTAAACCGTTAATTATAAATCGTCGGAGCAGTGATATCAGTATCAGAACTCTAGATAGAAGTCCCACACACTTTCAGAGTATAGTACCTATTAGGACGGAGGTGCAGGAGAAATCTGAATCAGATTCAGATCATCCTGATTGCAGCGAGAAGGCAGCGCTGATGACCGAAAAGTCCAAGAGCAAAGAAGAAGAACCAAAAGTACGCAAAAAAAATTTGTCGTGGAACGATAAAAATATTGAAGATGCGGAAGACATCACGCCAGAAACCAACTTACTTCCCGAAAATACGTCTAGTGAAGCAAGAGTTATGGTACGTAATGCTTATTATACTATTAGACTCATAGAATGCAGATGCATCTAGACTAAGTCTTGGATTTTCGAACGTCCTTTTAAATGCCTAGAACTTTTGCGTCATTTGAGAACTGTATGATCTCGCTATTTCCAGAGTACGGACTTTACCCTTCATTCGATACTAAATCACATCGCGTATGTGAATCGAGCGAAATCTGATACGCCGCTACATATACCGGAAGCAGATACCGCAGTTGCCAGGAAATCTCAGATGCAAAAAGTATTAAACGTTACACGCGCTACTGCGATTTTAGGGATCCTTCTATGCGTCACGGATGCCTTTCGTATTTTTGGGCCATACGGTATTTATAATAGTACAATAATAAATAACAAGTAGAAATTATAATTTTATGTTTATATACTATGAAATATATTCTTATATAAAATAACGCTATTGATTCGTTTTTAGGACTCTTTGCTGAAACCGTACCATATGGTACAGAACCAGCACCAACGCAGTTTCCCATGCCATGGCTGTGGCTGTTGTACCAAACGATACCCAGGATATTCGAATTCCTGATGGGCTGCGCCATGGCGAATATAACTAAGCAGCCATCAGTAAGTCCACGACATCAATATCTGAGCAATTATCCTAGTTATTCCCCGCGCATAAATCGAGGTAATAACCCTTATATATAAAGCAATAGTTCACCTAAGCGTAATCGTAATTCAAAAATCAAGATGCCAAATAAAAATTTTTATTAATTTTTTTTATCACAGATCTTAATATTACTCTTTCAAGATAAATTATTTTTTGTAATGACTCTATGATTGTTTTAAAGATAGATTTTACAGACATATATAATATTACCCCTAATATATTCGCAACAATTTATGTTCGCCGTTTTCCTTAAAGTGTGCTCACTAAAAGCTCATTTTTAATTTAAAAAAGAATTATTATAAAAAATTGAAGACTTATTTTCGTACGTAGTTTTAATATGAATTGTGACGGTTTCTGTCGAAGAGATACATACAATGCAAAGGCATTTTTGTAATCAATACATGATAAAAAAAGAAAGACGGAGTCTCTCGAAAAATTTGCTGTATACGAAAATATAGCAATAGATGAGTATAACATTCTAAACATGGAATAAATGTTTAGGCAAACATCTAATACAAATGCAATAGTTACGTAGCATTTCTAAAAAAACCACTTTTTATGCGAAGTGTTCATTCGATGCACATATTCACACACAAAAACAGATATCTATTTTTTAAATTAGATTAGTTTCCTGATGAATTAATTTAATGACTTTTACTATGTTCTCTGAAAGATACATATACATATATATATATTTTTTTGCTGTTGAACAAATATATCTATATATATATCATTTTTTAACTTACATATAAAATTTGAAATATTTTCGAAGTAAAAAAAAAGGAAAGAGAAAAGAAAAATAGACTGTATATAAACAAAGATGTTAAATTAGTAGGTGACTTTTATTGATAATACGTGAAATAACGCGTTTTTACTGTGTGTCAACCGCACCAATGCTTAGAAGTAAAAGTATGAATCCAAACTCTCAAAGTGCCCTACTACTAAATGTTCAACAAAATTACAACAATGACTTATCTGCAAGTTGAATTTGTAACAGTGTTGTGATCCTACATGTGATATCATATTTATGTGTTTAGAATAGGAGGCCATTTTACGCTTATGTAAGCTTAAATAACACTATATTCCGTGAGATAAAAGACTGTAAAAGTGAGTTTATGATAAAAAAAAAACAGCTATATCATAGCTTT